TCCCGGGGCGCAGCCCACCAGCTGGCACGGGGTGGTTTGGCTGCTCGGGTCAGCTGGGAGACGTGGTCATTGCTCAGGTCAGGCATCTCCTAACGTGGTAGGTTGCAACACCTTCATACATCACCAGTCTCCATAGTAACAGGGCAATGAACTCATTGTTCTTCAGGCAGCCACTCCTCTACCTCCCCACCCCGTGTCTTTCCCAGAGCCTTTATAAGCAGAGACACCAACCGTGCTCGGTCTCGGACAGCTTCTGTTCACACTGGTGTTGTCTCCATTCCTGCAAAGCCTATCTTACTACCGGCTGCCAGCCATGAGAATCCTTTTCTTCCTCGTCGCTCTTCTCTTCTTCCTCTTCCAGGCTGCTCCAGGTAAGGCTGGAAACAGAGGAGATGGAGGCTAAAAGGGTGCACGTGCAGGGAAGGTCATTAGATCCTGGTGCCGAGGTTCAGGATTACCTCCGTGCTCTTGGAAATCAAGACTTTCATATTACAATTCCCCTTCCTGGCTCATAGTCCTAATCTTTAAAATACTGGATTTGAGGTCCTTGATAGTCTTCCTCATGGTCTTTTTCTAGCATCTTGCATTCCAGCCATATGATGGCATGATGGGGAAAAAAAAAAAAAAAAAAGCTGTTCTGTATTGACCTTGGTGCCAGGGAACATTTTGGAGGATCTCATTTTGAGTGTCTTCATGTGGCACTTACAGGACATCCAGGGGATCAGCCTCAGCCAGGACAGGTTTAGGAAAAGCAGGTCCTGATTCATCAACCTAATCTCCTCTATGGCCTTTCAGTGAATTAGGTATCTACCTAGATTTTAGTGAAGCCTTGACACTGTTTCCCACAGCATTGTACTGGAGAAATTATCTGCTCCTGTCTTGGACAGTGTCACTCTTCTCTGGGTTAAAAATTGTCAGGATGGCTGGGCCCAGAGAGTGGTGGTGAATGGAGCTACACCCAGCTGGGGCTGGTCACCAGTGTTGTTCCCCAGGGCTCAGTACTGGGGCTAGTCTCGTTTAATATTTATCAATAATTTATCAATGTACCCTCAGCAAATTTGCAGATGACACCAGGGAAGGGAACGGAGCTGGGGAAGGGGCTGGAGCACCAGGAGCAGCTGAGGGAGCTGAGGGGGCTCAGCCTGGAGAAAAGGATGCTCAAGGGGTACCTTCTGGCTCTGCAACTCCCTGACAGGAGTGGGAAGCCAGGGGGGTGTCGGGCTCTGCTCGCAGAAAACAAAGGACAGGATGAGAGGAAGTGGCCTCAAGTTACACCAAGGGAGGTTTAGATTGGATATTAGAAAATTCCTTCCCCAAAAGGGTTGTCCAGCCCTGGCACAGCTGCCCAGGGAAGTGGTGGAGTCCTCAACCCCGGAGGGATTTAAAAGCCGTGTGGATGTGGCACTTGGGGACATGGGCCACTGGTGAACCTGTCACCGCTGTGGAAACAGTTGGACTCGAAGGTCTTAGAGGGCTTTTCCAACCTAAACAATTCTATGATTTAAGAATCAACGCTGCAATGTGAGAGCTTTCTCTTCTCACATTCCCACCCACACCTCCAGACAGTGTATTCCAGATTAGAAGACTTCCTGTATTTTTGGGAAAAAAGGAGTTATGGTTGTGGGTCTTTACCTGAACTCAGCATTATCCACGTGAATTAAATGGGTATTGAGCACATGCATCATTCCAGGCTATTTGAGGGTTTTTGGAGCAGTTGAATCTATCTCAGTGATTGCTTTAGTTTGCAGTAGTCTCAAATTTTTAGCTACTCTCCTAGACCATCAAATGTCTGTCTACTCAAAAAAGAAACATGGGTCAAATCCAGGCACTTGTAGGAGCTTTAGACAAAGCCTGTGCTACACGATTTGGGATTGCTTTCTTGGACTTTCCCTATTTTATGCATCACAAAATGTATTCTTTATGTCAAAAAAACAGTGATCCTTGAGATGGCTTCAGTAGAGCCTCTGGGAAAGGGCCAAAAGTTATTTAATATCTCTTCATGAAGACTTGCATACAGAAAAGACCCATAAAACTACAGGGCTTTTTAATTTAAGAGACAAGGGAAACCAAGGTCTAAGGATGGCTTTTAAATGACCTGAGTGATATCAAAAACACATAATCCTTGAATAATATGTGATTAAGAGAGAGGACGTGAGAACCACCAGGACAAACTGATTGAAATAGATTGTAGATAGAACCTACTATTAGGTAGTAGATCCAATTTAGAATACAGCTGTCAAACCTTTCAAACTGGGGATAAAGTCCAATTTGATGATAAGAACCCCATACCAAATCAGATAAATCCGATGCCTCGGCTCTCCAATCCTCTGCTGTGACAAATGAACATGAATATTCTCTTGTTTACTTTCAGCTTCCAGCCAGGACACCTCTGACACCCTCACCTGCCGGCAAAGCCGGGGCTCCTGCTCCTTTGTTCCATGCGCTGCTCCTCTGGTTGACATCGGGACCTGCCGTGGTGGGAAGCTCAGATGCTGCAAATGGTAAGAAGAGTCCCTGCAAAGCAATGCTGCTGCATCAAGAGCAAATAGAATTAATGGGCTTCTCCCTCTACTGGCATCATCGAGCCCCTTCTCCAGCCCCCTACGCCCTCCAAAAAACACCTTCATTTGCCGGGGTTTGTGTCAGGCAGCAAAAAGGCAGAGCCTTGTGGTGTTAAAAAAATTCCAGGCTGCTCTCTCTGAAAAAGACAGACTATTTACAAGGGACTGGAGTGACAGGACAAGGGGGAGTGTATTCAATCTGAAAGAGAGTTGGTTTAGATTAGATATTAGGAAAACATTCTTTACTGTGCAGGTGGGGAGGCCCTGGCACAGGTTGCCAGAGACACTGTGGCTGCCCCATCCCTGGAGGTGTCCAAGGCCAGGTTGGACAAGGTTTGGAGCAACCTGGGATCGTGGAAGGTGTCCCTGCCCATGGTAGTGGTTGGAACTAGATAGTCTTTAAGATCCTTTCTAACACTAACCATCATGTGATTCTATGAAGGGCATGGATAGAAGTGAGGGGATCAGCCACCTTCTCCAGTGTTGCTCTTTATTTAGAAACCAGTTTTACTCTTAAACTGTATCCTGGTATGTATTTTGGGTCATCAGCACCCACAGTTGAGTAGCTGTGGTGTGTGCTGAGAGGTGGCAGCCAACGTCCTCTATTTTATCTGGACTGTCTTATGACCAGAAACAGAGTTTCAGATCACAAGTATCTCCAGTTGTCTTTAATCCCATGTGTTACCTTATGCCTCCAGCAGTGTGAGGTGTTCAGGTAGAATTAACTAGTTTGCTGGGTGATCTAAGCACCTGACTTTTCTTTGCAGGACACCCAGTTCCTAAACTTGACACCTCACTGACCACTCAGACAAGAGCTCTGGACATCTGAGACATCTCCCATCTTTTGACATCGATGGATCCTGTCCTCGGTGCAACCCTGAGGAGCCTTTCCCATGGGGGTGAAGGCCCTCAGGAGCACAGGAAGATCTGAGGACGAGTTCTTGTACCCCAATATAGATATTTGCAACTTCAACTCTAATAAAAGCAAGTTCCTGTGAAACCCCATTGCTGATATCTGCTCATGTATATCAGTGTGGCTTTTGTTGTTCTTATTGTCTGTAAACATCTGCCTGTAAATGAATTTTATTTAACTAAATTAAGTCCATGTGTCATTAAGTCCTGTTAAATCGTCCTGTGTTGCAGCAGTTTGTGTGGCAACATATATATTAATAATTCCAAAAGCACAAGAGCCCGTTCCTGCTGCCATTCCAGCCCAGAGCACCTCCAGAGCTGGGTTTCAGGAGACAGACTCAGTTTTCTGCTCCCCCTACACAGTTACATCTGCCAGCCCAACCTGAAATGCTGGGAATGGCAATGCAGGGAAACCCCAGGGTTGGCAGAAGGCCAACTTCCTTTGGGCTTTAAACTGCCTCACCACGTTCACATCATTCTGCTCCCGCTGTCTCTATTTAGCGTAGACCAGTACCATGTCAATGGAATTTTATTTCCCTGGATCCTAAACTAGTCAAACTGCTTTTCCCTGTGCTCTGCTGTCTGGAGGCTGTGTGTTGTGTGTCCATCAGCCCAGAGTGTGTGCACCAGTGCTCATCCCCCTCAAGACTCATCCCCTCCCTCCTCTCCCCATTCCTGTTATCCCACAGTGCTAATGCAAAGGCCAAAAGGCTTTGAGACAAGGGATGACTCAAAGAATCCATGCTGTCCATGCCAGGAGTTGCTATGGGTGGTTTCAGGATTCAATATGACCAGTTTGTGCCAGCTTCCTACAAGCCTAATCACAGTGGGTTTGGAGAATCACAGAATCATGGAATAGTTTGGGTTGGAAAGGACCATAAAGATCACCTTGTTTCACCTCCTGCCATGGGCAGGGACATCCTCCACTATCCCAGGTTGCTCCAAGCCCCATCCAACCCAACCTTGAAGGCTGTTAATGGTCAACCTAATAATGAACAGGGCCAGGCCATATTCCTGTGCATGTGTGGGTTTGGTTCCTTCTTCTTTTCTTGGACAAGAAACCACAAGGCACATCCCACACTGACCCTGGGTGAGATGGGAGCCAGATCCTTCAGCACAAACACACACCAAGACAATTCCTCACAGGTACAAGGCTCAAACACAACTCCTCTGGAGCAAGTTTACTAAAATTTATTGAGATATGCAGACTTTGAAGTACAAGCACCCCCAAATGAGAATTCAGTGTCTCCTGGAGCCTTTGTCTTCTAGCACTACTCAAATTATTGCTAACCCTAAAAGGAAATAAGACAAAGAATAGCTGTTCTGAGGGCTACAGACTTCTGAATGTGCCTGATCTCTCTGGGATAGAAGTTAATTGACACAATATAATTTCAACTACAAAACATTTTAAAAAATGAGAAATATTGTTGTTTTCTGGGTGGTTCAAGAATTGCTTTCAAGATCCTTCAGGTCACTAAGACTGTTTGTGGAGGAATTTGTTCTCTTTCTGTTGTTCGTGTTTTCCTGTGTGCACATGCATCTCTTAAATTTCCAGAAGCTTTGCTTAGCCCATCTGAGATGTCAGTGGTCACTAATCATACTGCAAAATAAAGGAAAGAAACTGTCACATTTTGCAGTCTAGGAAAGGATTTCAAGGGATTGAATGAGCACCAAGAGCTGATATTCCTGGATCCAAATCTTCAGTGCTTGGTAGGATACTAACAGTCTTGTTGCTGCTGAATTTTAATACTAAATTGCTTTTGCTATTTTACTTAATAATGAATTGACCAGTGTCTATGCTCAAAGCTTCCTACTCATCTTGGAATCTCTGGTGTGGAAAGGAATTTCTACTGCTCATGCTTTGTTTATAACATCTCTGCTACTAACATTGAACAAAGTTTAAATTAAAGAATCCAAAAATAAGAGTGCAGCATCTTACAACAAAAAAAAAAAGAAACAGAAAATGAAACATTAGAACCACTGGAGGCAGAGCGTAAATTTCCATGGATATTTGTTTCTGCAGTTTCATATCAGAGTAAAGATGTAGGCTGAAATTTAGGATTCTAGTAAGAAATTCAAGGGATAAAAACCCCAAAACAAAACACAGAATCGTGGAATTGTCTGGGCTGGAAGGGACCCTAAAGCTCATGAGCAGGGACATCTTTGAGCAGACCAGGTGGCTCAAAACAATCAGCAAATATTTTGGTTTCACTGTGGTCTTTCCCATGAATCACTTGAGCTGAATCATTAATGGTACAGGGGGAAGTAGTGAGGAAATCCTCAGGACATCCTGTATCTGAGTGCACAGAGTCTCTGTTTCCTTGCTGGAGGAGTTTTGCATCTAAAGGGCAGACTGGGTGTAGGAAAATGAATAATAAACCCATTACCCCAAGAAATCCCTGGAAAAAAAAAGAAAAGGTCAGGTTGGACAGGGCTCAGAGCAACCTGGGCTAGTGTCTGTTCCAGGGGGGTGGAATGAGATGAGCTTTAAGGTCCCTTCCAACCCAAACCATTCAGTGATTCCGTGGATCATCACATCCACAACTCACCACGGTCCTACAGCAAGGGATCCCTCGCTGGCAGCGCCCAAAGGACCTTGTGTTGGGTGGGGGACAATGGTCGGTGGAACAAACACCCCCAGCCTGTTTGCACTGCACCTCGTTGTTGGGGGCGCGCATGAAACCTGCACAAAACAAAAAAAAATAAACAACTCAAAGTCTTGATTTTTCATCCAAGGGTTTCAGCTGGTGTTTGTTCACCATTAAATTTGTCCAGCATGCTGGAAGCATTAGTTGGCCTTGGGCAAAAGGGCATAAAACTATTTCTATTTCACTTCTATTTTATTTTATTTCCATTTCTACTTTAATCTCTCCATACTCATGATTTTCCCCATGCATTTCCTTCCATTTTACATAACTCTTACCTGAAGTCCCTTGGAGCATTAAGAGGAGAACGGCAAATAAAAGGGAAAAGATCTTCATGTCCAAATTCAGAGCCACCAAATCCAACAGCTACCAAGAAAAAATCAGAAAGAAGTTGAGCATTTAACCTGCATCTGTCATCATCCAGTACAAACACTATTTATGAAATATAAGCTGCATTTTTTAAATAAAAATTGCCATTTATGCAATGTTTATAAACATTCTGGAATAAATCTATTGAAATGTCAGTTTTTAGGGGAAGATATATTTGAAAGCATGTTGCATAAGATTAAAAAAAATTATTTATGGCTATAAATTTTAAAAGAATTACATTAATGTTGTTAATTTCCTTCCATCAACTGCAGTGATAGCCTACACCAGCTTTAGTGAAGACCCTTATATTTGAATCCCATACTAATAACTCTGGATGTTAAAACTTCAAACAATTTTAAAAAAAATAATTATCTTCCTCCAAAATTAACTTCCTCCCTTCTCCCTATAACACCATTATATATATGTGAGCCAGCTGAAAGTCCTGAAGTGTCTCTCCACCACCATTTCTTGCTGCAGACTCCAATTACCTTCTGAAAATAATGCAAACTAATGTAATAATTAGGAATCACCATTATTGACTGTAACAATCAGCCAAATGCATTACTGAAACACCAAGCACTGTCCATTTCAGATGCTTATGAGAAATTAAGTTATAATTAAATTAAATTTAATACAGATACACATATTGGATGATGAATTTCTTTTTGGAGAAGCAATGAATTTTGTCCAAAAATTATGCAGTTTTCTCCTCACTGGTTGAAACTGGTGTGGAAACTACACCTTCAGCTCATCCAAGAGGACTTCAGCAGAGGGGCCAGTCTGTCCTACCTGCTTCTTCCTAAAGGGTGGCTCCCCAAAGTGATGTCTTGCCCCAAAAGAACTGTCTTTATATACTCCTGCTGATGACAGACCTGCCACGGACCAGCTGGCCAAGGACATGGACTTCTCACAGCAATTCCCAGCAGCTGAAACGTCACTTCCCAGCAGCCCATGGGGAATGGTGACCGCTCATGAACTCCCTTCTCTTTCTCTGGCACATGAGTTGGCTCTCCCCCAAAAAGCACCTGACACCACCCTGGTTTGTGTACAACACATCGATCCACCGTGGGCGGTGGAGGAAGTGTCCTGGGACACACACTGGAGGCTGCTGGTTTGGATCCAGCAGGGATCTAATTCCACAGGGCTGTCCCATGGCCATGTGCTGGTTCTGACTGCAAAGAGATCGTCCCTGAGGCCTGGAAATGCCTCCACAGCCTCCGAAGGGCTACATTAGGAAAGCTCTGTTTTTGGAATGACTCTCCTGTGTGAAAGCCAGGTGAGAACCCTCTGTGTTCATCAGAGAGTAGGTTGGGTTAGAAAGGACCTTAAAGATCATCTCGTTCCAACCCTCTGCCATAGGCAGGGACACCTTCCACTATCCCACTTTGCTTCAAGCCCTGTCCAACCTGGCCTGGAACACTTCCAGGGATCCAGAGGCAGCCACAGCTTCTCTGGGCAACCTGTGCCAGGGACTCACCACCCTCACAGCCAAGAATTTCTGTCTAATATCTGATCTAAATATACCCTATTTCTGTTTGAAGCCATTTTCCTTTGTCCTGTCCCTCCATCCCTTGTCCAAAGTCCCTCTCCAGTTCTCTTGGAGCCCCTTTAGGCACTGGAAGGGGCTTTAAGGTCTCCCTGGATCCTTCTCTTCTCCAGGTGAACACCCCCAGCTCTCCCAGCCTGGCTCCAGAGCAGAGGGGCTCCAGCCCTTGGAGCCCTCCGTGGCCTCCACTGGACTCACTCCAGTAGCTCCATGTCTTTATTCTGAGTCTCACAGGAGTGGAGTAGAGGGGCAGAATCCCCTCCCTTGACCTTCTTGTCACACTTTCATTCTCATACATTTACCACATCTGTGTTCTGCTTATGCTACAGGAAATAACTATTGTTTGAATAACTAAAAGTTTCATGGAAGCACCCACTCCCACGCACCCAACTTTGTAGGTGGTCAAGGGAAACAAGCTCCACAAAACATGTTGTGATGAAATATGTGTCCCCAGAGGGTTTGGACCAGAGAGACTGATGGCAGCACTGGTATAACCTGAATTCTGAAAGCACCTTGTGAGCCTAGAGTTGTGTTTTCGTTATCATACCACTAAGAGTAGAAAAACTCCCCAACATTCCTCTACTCCAAAAAGCATCCTACCCAGGTCACCTGCCTCCCACAAGATGGCAATGAAGAGCCAGTGCTGAAATCTTTGAGGCACAGAGCTCTGAACTCAACCTTTCGGGTTACCTCCTGAAAATGACCTTGAAATAGGATAAAATTACTCTTTCTTCCTGTTTTCCCACTTTGTGACTGTGCCACCTGCCCAAAGTGGTACAAAACAGATCCAGCCTCAAATATGAATCCGGACTGGGATAAGGTCTTCAACTAATTAATTTTGACAAAATATATTTTTAAATATCTTTAAATATCTTAATATCATAATTAAATTATATATATATTATATCTTAATATTATAATTAAACTGTTATTTTAATTACCTTATTGACTCAAAATATTATTTTGGCTACTCAAGAACACAGAAGTGATGCACTGTTTCTTGGTAGTTAAACACATGTAATTAAAGAATGAATAATACAAATCAATTAATATTGTAATATTGTCACCTGAAAGCATTTTGACAGCTGAATTATTCAGTTTCCTTTCTTCCTGTACTGCAAAAGGTACTGTGTGGAGCCCCAAAAATCAACATTTGCAAGCACATATATGTGTGTATATATATATATATATGTGTGTGTGTGCCTAACTATATATATATATATATATATTTCTATGTCTGTATATATGCATGTATATATTTATAATTTACAAATATTCTAAGAGAAATAAGGGCTGAATTTTCTAAACTGCTTTATAGTTTATCCTCACTGAAGAATATGCAAATAGATAAGACTAATCCAAATAATCTAATCTGTGCTTTACTCAGGAATATTCAGGATGTTAATTTAATAGTTATTTATTTAAACTTAGACATATTCTATGATGATATTTCTTACCCTCCCATTTCTCTACAGCCCTCCTAGTAAACCCACACTAACATAGATATATTTATATATAAAATGTTTTAGTATGAACATGTGGAAGGACTCTTCTAAATCTCAGTTGGCTTTTTATCACTCAGCAGGTCACAGACTTTGTCCTCTGGGAACATCCAGGTCTCAGTTCCTTTGTTCACACTTAGACTAAGTGCTGCCTGAGATGTTCCTGTGTCCCATCCATCCTCCCTGCTTTGGTGTCCTCTCTCCTGACCCTTGTCCACCAGCCCCAAGGAGATATCTCAGCCAGTCCAAAGCACCCCAAATCACTCTAGATCACAGTGTGAAAGCTACTGGGTTAAACCCTGTGTGTCCATATATCACCTCCACCATGCCATACCTTACCTCTGATGATGGGCTGTCCCCAGACAACCTGAGACCACAAGGATCCTTCACTTTTTCTCTGCCATCCTCTTCCTCCAGTGTCCTCTGTGCAAATGACAGGAAGGATGACAGACCTTTGGTACGATTGCCCAATGTTTGCCCTCACAGCACCTCCACAATTTGCAATAAAATCCATCTGGGAGCAGCCCTGCTGTCCATTCAGTGGCCTTGGCCAGCCATGTGGAAACTTGCCCAGACCTGAATCAGCCAAAACCTTCCTGGAAATCAAATCTGCTGCCAGGTGTTTTGAGCAGCAAAGCGGAGCGAGCTGCCCCTGCTCCCTCCAGGAACTGGGGCTGGGCTGAACTTCTCCCACCTCAGAGACTTCCAGCTCAGCAAAGGCACCAACAAACAAGCCAGCTGCTTCCAAAGCCCCTGAAATACAAGGATAAAAGTGCTACCTGGAGAACCAGAGAGCAGAAATTCAGCTGTACGTCTCCAGAGCAGCATTAACATTTATCTGTGTTTCACCGACTGCAAAGCCATGATTTATCCCACATGGACTTTACCCAGCCAGGAGGAAACCCTAAATTTAGATGAATTTGACCTGAAGGTGGACATCTGAGCTGCCTTTCCTTTCAGGGCACTCAAGCAGCTATAAAGCTGATATTTGGTCTTGAGGAAGATATTCCCAGCTTTGAGATTTCTTAAAATCATTCACAAAAGAGTCCTGTGAAGACAAACATCCCATTCCTGTGCCCTTCCTTACACAATTTTGGCATCCCTCTTGGGCAGCAGGGTTTCTGGTTCTCCTGGTTTCATGGCCAAAAAGGTCTATAAAGTAGAAGCTGGTGACACTGCCAGCAACACCTATTGTCTTACATATTTATTTTTATCTGAGTAGGACATTGTCTCATGGACACAGTTGTTGCAAATTCAGGACTCCAAGACTTCACAGTAGTTTGAGGTTCTTCCTCTTCCTTTAGTCTGAGGTGGTTTTAAGGATTTTTAGACATATGATTCAATTTAAGAGCAGAGGTTTTGTTGGTGCCCCTCCTTGTTTCACTGACCATTGAAAACTCCATCATTCCACGGTCTCTGTGCCCCAGACGGCCTCAGACCACCACATCTCCCACCAGCCCTTCTCTGTTTGTAAACAGCAGGTCCAGCAGGGCTCACCAGCTGTGACAAGAAGCTCTCCCCACACACTTCAGAAACCTCCCAGGCTTCTTCTTTTCGTCTGGACTGAGCCCCCAGCAGACATCTGGCAGGTCTCCTGCTAATATCCCTCACCTGGGCCCCAGGGAGGCAGCACACTTCCCTGTGGGATGGGTCAGGTCGGCACACAGGGCCCTCAGTTCCCCTCAGAAGGGACTCACCTACTACAACTACCCTGCTTTTCTTCTTTACATCTGAGGGTGTGATCTGTCTGACTGACAGAGTGCAACCGGGAGACCCTGCAGACAGACTTTTGTCTCGAGTGTCACCTGCCTGACCCTCCAGACCCAGGGCCTCGTACCTGTTCTGTAAGGGCACCTAGGGAGCTGATGAGGGTCGGGAGGGGATTCTTTTAACTCCCCGAGCAGGGGCCCGTTTCCATTTCCCCCCCATCTACAAGGTGTCCTCCTGCCTGATGGCAAGAGGGGCAGGGCTTCCCTGACTCCTGCTGAGCTTCTCTCAGGGTTGCAAGGGTGGAACTCCAGCAGTCTATTTCCCTTTCGCTCTCCCTAATACTCCTGAGCCTTTCCACTTCTTCCTTAAGCTGTGCCACCAGACAGAGCAGATCCCTCACCTGTTCACCCAGGGGTCTTTTGCACTGTACCAACACCTGACAGCCCCTGCAGCCATGCCCTGGAACGCTGCCGTGCTCCTTGGGGCGCTCTGTCTGTGTCACCACACTCCTGCTGGCAGCACCAGCACATACGCCTTCTGACCATTTGTAAAGAACTGCTGGATCTGGTCAGGTTGGGGGGAGGAAAAAAAAACCCAACAAACAAAAAGAAACAAAGAAAAAAAAAAACAAACAAACCCAAACAACCCAAACCAAAACCCGGAGCCGGGAGTGTGGATGCACCCTTCCTGCCCCAGCTGCCACTCCAGGTCCCTGGAGCTGCGTAAATCTCCCGCAGATGGTCCTGGCAAAGCCCCTCGCTCGCCGAATTGAGGGTCTGGGCAGGGTTGGGGCAGCTGCGCGGTTGTCCTTGGGCTCGGGAACCTCCGTGTGCAGCTCGGATCTAAAACTCAAAAGCCCGGGCTTACCGTGGTTGCCGCTGTCACCTCTGCTGCCCCTGTCGCCTGAGCCAGGCAGGGACATTGCAACCTGCTCCGATCCGCTCAGGTGGGGACAGGCAGAGTGAGTCTCAGTCCACAAATACTGAGAGGAACCAGGTTCCAAATATTCCCTAAGCGAGATTATGGCACAAAACGAGGCCAGCTGCTTGATTCCAAAACGATAATTCAGCTTTATTTCATGTGAAAAATCGAGGAACTGATTTTATTCCAAGCAAATTAAAATGAACAGAGGGTACTAACAAAAGAACTATTTCTGTATATTTACTAACTTATAGGCATACCGTGGAGACTGACGAGGCCAGCTGCTTGATTCCAAAACGATAATTCAGCTTTATTTTATGTGAAAAATCGAGGAACTGATTTTATTCCAAGCAAATTAAAATGAACAGAGGGTACTAACAAAAGAACTATTTCTGTATATTTACTAACTTATAGGCATACCGTGGAGACTGACGAGGCCAGCTGCTTGATTCCAAAATGATAATTCAGCTTTATTTTATGTGAAAAATTGAGGAACTGATTTTATTCCAAGCAAATTAAAATGAACAGAGGGTACTAAGAAAAGAACTATTTCTGTATATTTACTAACTTATAGGCATACCGTGGAGACTGTAAGGTGAAGGGTCCTATCTGGACCTCTCACCAGGGAACCTTTTGCGGCCGGGAACAGGGAACAAATTATGATTAAAAATGTATTCCTCTGTGCCATGTGGATACACAGAGAGACCCTCCATGCCTTGCAATGTGAGGATGATGCAAGACCCCCCTGTACGAGCCCAGGGGAGGTATGTTACAACCAGCCAAAAGATAACACCCACTTCCAAAGCAGAGAAATTACATTTTAAGGCAACAAGCAGACAGTAAAATGAATATTCAACAACTGATATCAAAGGGTACAAAAAGCACGGTTTTCAAACAGCAGTGTGCTCTTTGCACGATTCAAGGGTGCACCCTGTGCTGGAAATGGGTACCCAGCACTGCAACAAAAATCTCTTGCTATATTTCTTTGTCCTGCAGGTATTTTTGCCGTCTTCAAAATTCCAGAGAAAAAGTAACTTATAACATTTTAGAACAGGAAGAGGGCAGAGACAAAGAGGGAAGATAGAAAAGTAGGAAAAAAGTAGGCTGCTTCTCTGGTGGTCTTGTAGCCTCCTAGGAGCAAACCAGTGGGCAGGGTAACAGAGTGGCAGCAGGTCCCACAGCAATCCCCCCCATGCCATCCTGGGCACTGCCTTAAATATCCTAACAGTGGCAGACCCTTGAGGGCCCATTGTTTGGTTCACCAGTATCCAAGCAAAGTTTGCCTGGTACCTGAGTGCATTGGCTGGTTCTCCAGTATCCAAGCAAGAGTTGCCTGGTATTCCTTTGGGAGGGTAAGCCCTTGCCATGTACTTGATTGTAACAACTTTTTATCAACAGACCATCTTTCTTGATAAAAGTCGCTTGACTGGGTGCCTCTGACAGCTTACTGGATACTTCCTGTAGCTTGTTTTGTGCCTCCTGTAGCTTTTGCAGGCAGCTCTGCTCCTGCAGCAGCCTGGCCTTTGCAGCAGGCCTTTTTAGCTCCATGCTCCAGGCAAAGGCAAAGCAGATCCTACCTTTTATCAGTCCTTTATACAACCTCAGGTCCAACCCTTGCAGAACGGCAGAGCTGCTGCATCCCATTGTCGCTGGAAGGCACCAAGTTCTGGAATTGTTCAGGTAGGAAAAGGCCTTAAAGCTGCTTCTTTTCCTTCCCACAGCAATGTCTGCAAGGAAGGAGGTGCCAGACGATCCCCCTGAGGGAGGCGGTGGCCAGGGTGGCCTGGCAGAGACGTGGAAAGGTGCAGAGAACCATCTCAGCTGTGCTGGAGAAGGAGCTGGGAGCTGCTGGCACATGTGAGGGGACCAAGTGAGGGACCCTGCACTGCCTGATAGCCCAGCCCAGGCCAAAGGCCACCCCCACTCACTCCAGTAGCTGCACTGGGACCCCTCAGCCCACAGCTGACACCATGGCCACGGGCACCTGCACTCCCAGTCTGATTCCAGTAGCACCCAAATCTGCTCCCAACCCAGATCCCCCCAGTACCCTCAGTCCTGCAGCACATGCTCCCCCTGCCCAGCTTTGGTTCCTGTCCCTGGCTCCGTGGCTGCTTTCTCAGCTCTGGGGCTGGGGAGAGTTTGGGCTCATTCCCTTTTGTCCTGCGGTTTCCCAGCTGAGCAGTTCCTGGTCAGAGACCTCGGCTGGGATAAACCTTCCCAGCCCTCCATCCATGGAACACACCACACTTGGGTTCCACTGCTGCCTCCCTTGTCACCTGCCACTCACATTGGTTTCCCTGGAGCTCCTGCTTTGTGGATTCATGCCCTATTTACTGTCCCTGGAGACAGTGAGGGAGGTCCTTGACCAGACCCCCTGAACTGAGCAGACCCTCTCCTGCCACACCCCCTCCCCCAAACCCTGGCCCAGGGCCACCCCTCTGTCACCAGCACAGATGCTGGAGTCACCCCCAGCTGGGGCTCCCCTGGACAGAAAAGACACAGGGACCAGGCTGGTCCAAACCAGCTCCTTCATTACCAAAGCCTCCAAGGGATTACACTGAAGCAGCTCATCAAGTTGGTGCTTCCTAGTGTTGCCTTTGATCTCTCCCTGGCACTTGGGCTCCATCTTGGACATGAGACTGATCACTCACAGGAAGTGTTTTTGTATTGCTCAAGGACAAAGCAGAGGGAAATGTTTATGGCAGGAAGGGAAGAAGGGTTTTCATGGAGCGAGGGAGTTTCTGAGCGATGGCTGAGTAACATGCCTTATTTCACCCAAATTTGTGAGCAGTTGGATACTATTGTCTTCATGTGGCTTGAGAGAGTAAGCATTGAAGCAGGACTTTGTGGACAGCCTTGTACTCTGTTCTTCTAAACTGCAAAGCCATGGAGGTTCTTCCTTCCCATCCATCTGGCCTAACGCTTCTCCAGCTCGGCAAGTGCTTCCTCCTTGGTAATGCTCTGCCAGGCCTCGGGGATTTCTCCTTTGCCCTGAAATTTCCCATTGTACAAGGTTTCTAGATCTTCTCTGAAACGACACACAAACCATTTCCAGTACGCTTGCATGGATGGATCCGGAAGAATCTTCCAATTGGAATAAGGAGGTCCTGCATCCCGGTACCTCTTGTAGTGACACATTTTGTGACCATCAAAGCCAAATTTACAGTCACTTGCAACGCTGCTGGAACAAATATCAATGACCAGGTGCTCCGTTCCCTGCCACTTCCGTCTTGTCAAAAATTCTGGTCGATGGAAGACAAGCTGATGGTCCCCATCGTGTCCCCGCATGGTGTTTGTGCAGACAGCCCCACAAAAGGGACACTGCTCCCAGCATCCCGAAAACTGCTCTGCCAGGATGGTGTGAGGCTGCCTTTCAAACCAGCTCAGATCAGCAGCAGCAAATTTTCTCCTGAGATTGTCCCTCAGGGCATCCAGTGCTTCCGTCATGGCTTTGTTCAGTAACTCGATGTCTGTGATCTCCTGATGCTCAATGCACTTCAGGTCACTTCTGGGCAAGTTGATCACCTCTCTCAGTTCCCTGCAAAATTCATCCAGCCAGACAGAGGTTTTGTCCTCTCTGTCTTTTCTGTCTTTGACCTTTTTGGATGAAGAAGAAACAGCCAACAGGATGTTTCCATAGAGAAGATCAAGGGAGGAGGCTAAAAACTTCTCCAGTCTCCTGTTCTCATCTAAACAGTAACTTGCAACACGTCTCTCAATGTATCTCTGAAAAAACTCTTCTGGGCAATTAAGGTACTGCTTGAAATACTCAAAATTTTCTTCTTGTGCCAGGAATCTCAGGATACAAACCTCCAGATTGGCTCTGTTGCCCTGGAAATCTGGGAATCTCCCCTGCATGTCTCCAGCAATGGCTTTAGCCGTTCTCTCATAAACAGCATAGAGGAGAGATAGGGAAATATTTTCACGAAGGAAACCAGCAAAAGTTGTGACAGAAATGGCTCCTTGGCACGAAATCTGGAACTGTGTGAAGAAATACTCTCTCTTGTTGCTCAGGTATGTGACTGGGTCATTTGCCTTCTGGAATGCTTCGTGCATGGCTTTAAACCTTTTGCCTGCCATTCTGCACAGGTACAGACATAAATCTAGTGCTGTAATCTCTGTTAAATGTACATGATGCATTTCTGGGGATGGAGTTCACACCTTTCTGAACTTCACTGAATATTTCATAAATAAAATTTGGACTGTAATCCATTTTCTTCTGTTCCTTCTGATCAATGTTTGCCCTCACACACGTTATGATGTTGTCTGTGATGCCCTTCAAGTTGTTCACATCATCATAGAGAATGCTTTCCTGATAGGGATAATCGTCAAAAAATTCTTTCATTGTGATATGTTTGTTCACATCCAAACGAAATTCTCCGGTGTTGGGAAATGAATTGATCCGTGCATGAAAACCAGGCTCCTTAAAGTGCTCCAGAAGGACCTCTTCTATATCTGCATCAATATCCACCCTTTCCGGAGGGGGAGCAGCACAGGAGACTTCATCAACCCACTTGTCCCAGACAGCAGTAAAGTGTTCTCTCAGTTCTCTCTCACTGAGGCTCTTGCCTTTCAGAGTCAGAGCCAACTCCCTGCTCCTTCTCAGGAGCTCGTCTTCATATTCTAACTTTCTTGCATCCAGTTTACTCTGGGTCTTCTGCAGTTCAATAAGACTCTCACATTTCTTTTCAGTTTCAAGAAGAAGTCTCTCTTTTAGGTTTTTCAGATTCAGCTCTGTGCTGCTTTTCCACTGGACCAGTATCTCAGAGTCTTTGTCTTCCCTGAAATACTTTTCCATGTCTCTCATGATGGCATCACTTGTCTCTTGCACAAGCCTTTCAAGGTGTTTTCTGGTGACTTTCTGCAAGTCCCCATTCCGAATTCTGTTGTCGAGTGTCATTTGTACCTCTAAAATGTGACTCCTCAGCCTCCAGGTCCACTGACTAAAGGCAGTTTCCAGTTTCCTGTACACAGCAATCTCCAGTGAATTCTTGAAGCTGAAAACAAAGTTCTCATTCAGCAAAGCATTCCAGAGGTCACCAATACGAACCTTCAGGCTCGAGAGCCTCAAAATGCTGCCTTGTGACTCCTCTTTGGCGGCCTGGAGAATTTTCCTCTTTAATTGCTGGACGTTGTGGCTGTAGGTGGGGTTGGGTGGTGCCATTGGGGGATTTCCTTCCCACAGCTGAGCAAAGTAGTGAACGTGGGTGTTCACATCAAAGCGGATGACGTCGCTGAAGGAGGAGACGTTAGAGAATTCCTGCTGGGCAGCTGCCACAGTCATTTCATCCAGCTTCTCCTGAAAGCATCTTTGTCCTTCCAGGTTCTGTTCCTTGGCAGTAACTTCTCCGACATTTTGATGGACAAAGAGGCAGCTTGGGGAAAGATTTACCTCCTTCATCCTCAGAAAAGCCTGCACAGTGATCTGAAGAACATCCTGCATTTCTGAGGGATTTTCCCCAAAGATGTTGATCAGGGTCATGTTGCCGATGCCAATGACAAAGGTGGCCAGCTCGTTGTCATGATTCAGGGACTGTTTACTGGCCATCTCTGGGGCACGAAGGCCCTCTGTGTCAACAACCAGCATGTAATCAAAGCCCACGTCCTCCTGCAGCTGCTCGTCCAGTGGAAGGAGCTGCATAAACGCTCCCCGGGTGCATCTCCCCGCACTGACGTTGAACTGCAGCCCAAACATGGCATTCAGCAGGGTTGACTTCCCTGTGCTCTGGATGCCGAGCACGGAGAGAACAAACACTCGTTTGTCCCCCAGCCTCTCAATTAGGCTGTCAAAGATTGCTGCCACCCAGCGCAGGGGGAGGTAAGAAGCATCCCCATCCATCAGCTCCACAGGATACCCCGAAACCATCAGATCTGCTGCAATTTTGGGCAGGTAGACAACATTTTCATGCTTTGAGCTCATTGACTGGAGAGCTTCATAAATCTGCCCTACCTCTCTCAAAAGGTGCTCAAGGCCAATGAAGGAATCTTTGATTTCTTCAGAGAGGGCATTTAACTTATGGGTTTTTTCCTGGCCTTCTTTTCTTGTGCGGATTTCAGACCACAACTTGTGATAGTCTCTCCTCAGTTCTTCAAGGCGACCAGAAGACAGGTCGTCCATAAAGACCTTCATCCACTGCAGGAAGTATTTCTGCGTATCTGCTGCCTGTGAATGGAGAAAGCCAAGGAATGGTTTCATCAGCTGATTGAGGGGGAAAGCTTGCTCTAGCTGCTTTCTTCTTATTGCTGCCTTCTCGGTTTCAATTTGGCTGCGATGGTGCTCGATGCTTCTGTTCCCCTTCTCCTGCAAGCGAGTGAGTTCTTTGTCCTTTTTGCACCACTGGTGCCACAGTTTTCCTTGAAGAGGTAGAAGCTGGGATTTGATCTCAGACAACTTCTCTTTTTCAGAAGGGTCACTAGCTCTGTTGCCTTTGCTTTGGCTTTGGCTGTCACACACTCGGGTCGATCTTCATCCACTAAGAATCCGTGCTGGTGAGCTTTGTCCAGGCAGCCCTCCAGGCTGAAACGTGGGGTGGACCCTTCCAGGAGATTCCTGATTGTTTTGCTCAGCTTGTCCAACATTTCTGCTTCGTTTCTGTTCTTGATCCCTATTGTTATGTTTTTGCTGGATTGTCCATCTGCAGCCTTCTCTTGTTCAGTGAGAAGACAAACCAGAGGCCTTTGCGACTGCCACAGCTCACGCAGCAGCTTTCTCCCTCTGTCGTCCATGTGCTCAGACTCAGATACAAGAGCCACGTTCACAGCAGAGATCTCCTGTAAGAACTGCAGCTGTGCTCCATGATCCCTGGCGTCTCCATGCAGGTTACAGAAAGCCACGCAGCGCTCAAAGGTGTCGTCCGGGCATCCCCGGGGACAGTACCAGGCGATCTCCACAACACCTCCCATCAGCAAACACTCCCTGGTGCTGCCTCTGCAATGGCGGTGGAAAAAAGTGTCGTGTCTTTGTTTGCTCAGCAGAGCATTGAGGAGCTGAGACTTGGAAGAGGAGGCAGAGGTGCCAATGCGGATGAAGGACACAATGGATGTCACTGCCTGACGAATGAGTTTGTTATTGTAACTGTTCATTCTGGGTTGCTGTCCCGACTTCTCCACCTCCTTCCAGCTCCTTTTGATTTGGCTGAGGGCCCAGAGTGGGAACTCGATCTGGGCAGTGCCCGGCATGGGCACCAGCAGAGGCAGCGCCAGCTGGCAGAAGGCGAGTTTGGTTGCAATGGACTGTCTCAAGAAGTCATCAGCACAGTGGAAAATTGCCATCTGCAGGTCCATGGGGTGCACATGGCCCTCCCTGGTTGCAACTTCAGAGGCTGCTCTCTTTAAACCATGGAGAAAGTTTTCAAAGGAATCTGAGGGTTCGGGCTCTCGCTCTGTGGTTTCTGGCACGGGGGCAAGTCCTGAGTTGCTCCCATCCCTGCAAGTCAGGTACCTCACCTGATAATCCACGGTTAAGAGCTTCTGCAAGAAGTGAAATGGCAATTCCTGGTCCTTGCTGGGCTGGCTGTCATGCAGAGATGTCTTGTGGATGGTGAGGAAATCTCCTGTCCCCATTCTTCTTGGATAGTGACTTTCTAGTCCAAGGCGCTTGAGCAAATGGAGGAACTCTTGGTTTGCAGTGGCTTCATTTGCTTTGGATTCGCTGCCATCTGACGTGGATTTGGACTGACTGGAAGGCTCAGTTGCTTGAAAAGTGTCCTTCAGGTCCTGGAGTATGTCCTGCATCCTGACAACATCCTCTTTGTACTGGGGGCTACCGGAGCTCAAGTTGTTTGTCCCCTGTAGTTTGGGGTGTGAATTTTCAGCCTCCAGTCTTTTCTGAAGTTTCTTTACTGGATTCTTTAGTTTTTCAAGCACGTTTCGAGTGTCATCCTTTGAAGCCATGGCTATGGGGGAAGAAAAGAGATATTCCCTAAGGTTTGTTGTGAGAGGGCCCAGGCTCCTCTAAGAGGCTCTGCAGCAGCTCTGGCCCTGGGGATGCTCCTACCCATCTGCTGCAACCCAGGCTGGGATGTCACAAGACCCAGGGTCTCCTTCCCAGGACGATGGATGTGCCTGTTGTGGGGTCAGCCCTGAAGTTGAGTGTGTATCCCAGAGAAACACACACAAAGTTGGCCACACAACCTGCCATGGACAAGGTGCCGCCTTCAACAGAGCCCACATCCTTTCAACAGGACTCCTAAGTCCATAAGTGCAGAGAGCCGAGGGCATTCCTGGATTCCTCAAGCACCAGCACAGCCCCTCTGCCCATCCCACACTCCTGTCTGCATCCCGCACCCTCTGCCCAGCCCCTCAGCTCTCCTGCTCTCTGGCTGCTCCGCCTTGGTGCTCCCAGCACACAGAGGCAGCACCTACACACTCAGCCCACAGGCACCCCCCGTCCCCAGACACACTCACCCCAACCCTGGCACGGGCACACAGGTGGGACCGGTGCTCCTCCTGCTCCTCACTCACCCCACTCGTGCCTGTTCCCCCAGGAGCTGCTCCTTGGGACACACATGGTTCTTACCCCGGGCATGAGGAAAATCCAAGGTGTCCCTGCCCAGAGTTGTGTCAGGGGCATCCTGTTGGCCCGTCAGTACTGACTGGAGACTTGGGGAGCCAACTCGGAGAGGTGCCCCCCAGGATTTTCTGCTCATTTAGAGAGAGGGTCTCATGAGGGAAGCGACCTTTGCAGCCGTCTTGGCCACAGCCACCACAAAGCTATCGAGTGTAAAATCTCTGCTGACAGAAGGAAAAGTGCCAGTAAACCTTCAACCCTGAACATGAGGCGAAAAGACTCCAGGCTGCTCAGGGAGAGAGTTTGGGAGGGCCCCTGGGAAGAGGCTTTGGAAGGTGCTGGGCTCCATCAGTGCTGGTTCCATTTTATGCACCACCTCCTCAGGGCAGGAGCAGGAAATTCCCAAATGTGGGAAGTCAAGCAGATGACGCAGGAGGTCAGCTTGGTTAAGCAGGGAACCTTTTGGAGCTAAGGCAAAAAAAAGAAGTTGGCCTTGAGTCAGCAGTGCCCTGGCAGCCAGGAGGGCAAACCCTGTCCTGGGGGGCATCAGGCCCAGCATTGCCAGATGAGCCAGGGAGGGGATTGTCCTGCTCTGCTCTGCCCTGGGGAGGCCTCACCTGCAACACTGGGGCAGTCTGGGGTGACATAATGTAAGGAAGGTATTGAGCCATTAGAGAGTATCCAAAGGAAGGCAATGAGGATGGGGAAAGGCCTTGAGGGAAAACTGCGTGAGGACACTGAGAGCACTTGGTGTGTTCAGCTGGAGGAGACCGATGGGAGATCTCACTGCAGTTACAACTTCCTCCTAAGGGATAAAGGAGGAGCAGGCACTGATCTCTGCTCTGTGGGGACCAGTAACACCTGGGTCTTGGGAAGCCCAGGCACAAAGACAGACTGGGCAGAGAATGGATGGAGAGCAGCCCTGGAGAGAAGAATTCCAGAGTGCTGGTGGGTGAGAGGCTAAACCCAGAACAGAAACTCTCTGTGTGCCCCACAGCTTGGGCAGTAGGGGAGGGGGGATTCTGCCCCTCTGCCCCACGCAGCTGAGACCCCACCTGCAGAGCCGCCTCCACCTCAGGGGAACAACAGCACAAGGATGTGGAGCTGCTGGAGCGAGTCCAGAGGAGGCCACGGAAATGCTCCGAGGGCTGGAGCCCTCTGCTCTGGAGCCAGGCTGGGAGAGCTGGAGGTGTTCACCTGGAGAAGGGAAGGCTCCAGGGATATCTGAGAGCCCCTTCCAGTGCCTAAAGGGGCTCTAGGAGAGCTGAAGAGGGAAATGGCCCTGGGGTTGGATCCCACCACACTCTCAGCCTCCCCAGCAGCTCCTGCACTCCTGCTGGCGGGACGGGGCAGAGAAGGCGAAAAGCAGAGCAAAGAAAAACGGCTGGGGTGAGGTCAGGGGAGTTCAGGAACCAGAGGAAAACCGGGAGTGCTGGCAGAGCAAAGGAGGCACTTTAGTCACTGATTCCCCTCGGGGGGCAGATGTGCTGCTGCTCCCTGGGCAGCAGAGCCTCGGGGTGCGGGGCGGCTGCTCGGGAAGGCAACTGCTGGGTCACAGTCACTGCTGGATATTGTCCCCTCAGGCCACTTGTCCCAGCTCTGTCCCCTCCCAGCTGCACTCCCCTTGCAGCACTGCCAGCAATGGCTTAGTCTCAGGTGCTGGAGGCTGCGCTGCTGATCATGAACTGCAGCTCAGCTAGACCCTGAACAAGCCCCCAGGCACTCTTTGCAGGCCCAGCACAGCTTCCTATTGCTTCAGCATCAGGGTGATACCTTGGAGTTTCGATTTTTTTAATTTTGTAGATTTTAGAAGCAGTAATATAGTGTATGTAGATTTTAGAAGTAGCAATACATTTTAAAATATTTTTACCCTTTAACACACCAACCACACAAAGCAAACCCTATAACCCATTCCCATATCAATTCCCCTAAATTCCACTGGCCTATTTAGTGTGGTGGTTCTCCCCCAGCTGGCCTGGGGGATTCAGGAAGAGTTAAAGTTAGGAGGAACCTTTGTTCAGGGGAGAATTACGCCTGGACCCGGAAGTTGTAACAATATGGTTTTCCGGTAAAATGTGCTGAACACAGCAAAATGTGTTTCGTGACATGTGCAGTAAGCAGAGTTATATAACACCGTTAGTGGCCAATGGAAGAATATTTATGTATGTGGGAACCAGTGGAGAGTTGACATGTGTAGCCTAAAAAGTGTATAAAAGTAGCAGACATCGTGCAATAAAGGGTTCCAGCCTCTGGATCCACAAGGGTTTCGTGTCGTGTCCCGCCTCAACCCGCAACAATTTAGTCCCATTTTCAAGGTGGAATTGTAGAGAACACCCTAAAATCTATGCAAGAAGATATAGCCATAGACGCAACAACCTTCAGGCCTAGAGTTCTGGAAGATCTCCAAGAACCTTACGTGCTCTGAGGAAGATGAAGATGAAGAAGAGGGGGTGTGGAGGGGGCAGAACCTGGGCAGTGGCCAGACGGAGATTGGGTGAAAATCATTATAAAAACTGAAAACACCTGTACTCGAGTGCACATTAGGGGATATTCCGGAAAGCCTGGGGGCTCATTACAGCCTTTGTATCCTTATCTTATCTCCTACCTAATTTGGCTGGAGTCTTTTTTTTCCCCACAGCCGTTTAGGCAACAGGGGAAAAGCCACATGCAACTGTGTTAGTGCAGAGAACCACTGAGCATGCTTATAGGACAACTCGGGATCACTTCCCTCCTTGGAAGAGAGCGAGGGAAGCGGCAAGGCTGGCAGCAGGACCTGCCATGGGAATGCCTGCACCCCGTTTCTCGGGAACAGCCGCCCGAGAGTGTTTTCCTCAGCCCTACCCCAGGGAGAATGGGCTCTGGAAGCGCTTGTGCCTTTTGAGGGGGCTGCAGCGGGGATCCGAGCGCTCTGGGGGTGAAGTTTCGACTGTAAGAGAGGTGAATCCCACCCTCCCTCCAGGCGGAGGAGAAGGACAAAGTGTCCCCCCAGGCCAGGGTCCCCATTCCCCCCCGGAGCTGCCCTGCTCCCTAAGGAGCGGCGCGGGGCACAGGCAGCACCCCCAGCCCCAGCACGGCCCCAGCACCCCCCGTTCCTGCCTTCAGGGGAGCGAAGCCCCCCGGACCCCGCCTGGGGCTGGGGGTGCCCGGGAAGGGCAGGATCGGCCCCGCCTGCGGGGAGCCTTTCCAGCCGGGCAGGGGCTGCAAAGGAAGGGACTCCGCAAGGGATCTGTCCCCAGCCAGCCCCGCTGCCGGCTCTGGGCCGGGCTTGGCACCTCTGCACACACCGCTCTGCCCCTGCAGCCCCCCGGATCCTCCTCCTTCCCCCCGCTCCCGCCCCCCACCGCCTCTTTCCCGCAGCGCACACGGGTCCCCCGAGCCCCCCCAAACCGCCTGCGAGCACAGGCGGCCTCTTCCAGCCCCGCTCGGAGCACGGAACACCCGCTCGCTGCCCTCAGACCCCTCTTCGGTTTCCCTGCCATCTCCCCAGCCATAGGAAAACCCGCGGAATGGGAAGCACAAGACAAACAAGTTCCCGCTCTGTGCTGATCCCGCCTCCCAGCCCCGCAGCTCAGCCCCAAGGTCCTACCGTCTCCCTCCGTGCCCGAAGCTCCCGGACTGGGAGAAGCCCAGCGCAGCTCCCCTCGTTATCCAGCCCCGGCTCTCCTGTGGCTGCTGCTTCCTCTTTTAAAAGGGCCGTGGGGCGGCGGCTGCTGCTGAATTCCTGTAAATCAGGCGTTTTATTCCAGGGAAAGGCGAAAGTGAAAGTGGGAAGGTGTTGCCTGGTTTGGGGTTACAGGTTAATCAATGAGAGGTGGACTCACACTGTGGGATCAGACCAGCACACGGTGATTTCCACGTGCCATCACACACAGCCAGGTCGTGTCCATCTTCCTGGATTCCTTGCCCTATCCCACAGCAGAAGCCCTCCTTGTCATGCAGGTGAAGGACAACAACGCCTGCTCTTCCCAGCTTATTGCTGCCCATATCCCTCTATATCCCCTGCCCCACCTGAAGCAGGAGGTTTCTGTTCCCAGCTGGTGGTTTGAGACATCTGCAAAAACCAGGAGCCTCCTCCTGGGTGTGCAGTGGAGGAGCAGGAAGCTGATCTCCCCATCCCAGATCAATGTGGGCACAGAGGTCCCAAAGAAGCAACCACAGGCGTGTGGAGAGGAAGGAGTAGCTGAGGTGGGTGGCAGTGTCACGCCTGCTGGTGCCTTTGGCTGTTGGACCCTTTTCCATGTGCTGGAGGAGCCTTCCTCCCTGACACACAGAGCAGGGCTGGGTCACAGCTCTTCCCTTGAGTGCTCGCCCGGTGTTGCCAGATGTGCAGAGCCATCCCTTGACCGAGCTTTGGCAGCCCATCCTGGGTCCCTGTAATTGCACTCAAAGTTTCCTGCAATGTCAATTGAGGTGTGTTCAATGGCTGCAGTGAGTTACATCAGGAAAGTCACTCTGATAATTAACAGAAAGTATTTGGCTGCGAGGAGAGTTTGGAGGAGAAGTGGGGGCATTGTGGAAATTCAGGTATAATTCCCCGTGGCTGGCTCCAAAAGTGGCCACGATATCAAGGCTTGGATCAGTGACTTACTCGTTTTGCTCCACATCTGCCACAAAGCAGGATGTCAGTGAGGTTTTTTTCCTGTTAATTGGGAATTTCCTCTTTGTGGAGAGGAGGGAGAGAGAAGCAGAGGGAAATGTGGTTTGGAAAAAAAGGTTTTATTTGTGCCTTTCACATAGGCCCTGTCTAAACTTGGAGGTCACGTTCCCCCTCCTTCCCTGCAGTGCCTCCTTCATCTGGAATCTCCTGATGGGCTTGGGCTCATGGCTTCCTTGATTGGAAAAGTTGACCTTGATTCCTTTTTCTAGGGATTGTAACAAATCCTCTTTTCTTGCACTGACTTATGTATTTTCACAGACCCCAGAATGGTTTGGGTGGGAAGGGACTACAAAGCTCATCCAGTTCCACCCCCTGCCATGGGCAGCACACCTTCCACTATCCCAGGTTGCTCCAAGCCCTGTCCAACCTGGCCTGGACACTTCCAGGGATGGGGCAGCCACAGCTTCTCTGAGCAACCTGTGCCAGGGCCTCCCCATCCTCACAGTCAAGAATTCCTTCCCAGTACCCCAGGTAACCCTTCCCTCTGGCAGTGGGAAGCCATTCCCCCTTGTCCTGTCCCTCCAGGCCCTTGTCCCAAGTCCCTCTCCAGCTCCAGGTGAGCACCCCAGCATTCCCAGACTGGATCCAGAGCAGAGGGGCTCCAGCCAACCTACCGAGTTGCTTCGCCTTCTCTCCTGCCGTGCTTCCACCCTCCCGGGCTGTTCCCACCCTCCTGGGGATGCTGCTTTATTTCGGGAGCTCATTAGGAAAGAGAACAATCAAACAAGCACTCGGCCCCCTCTGGCGGGCAGCACGAGGATCTCCTAATCTGTCGCTTAATTGGGGGGAAGAAGGGACGAGCTGTTCCTGCTGTTGGCACCAGGGCTGCCTGCCCACCCTAATCTACCTAGCCACGGCCTCATCCATCCCCTCTCCGGTGCTCGGCGCCCTGATGCCTCGGGGATGGGCACAGTTCCACCCTGGAAGCTCCTCACATATCCTGCCATTCATCCCCTCCCAAAATGGGGGGACCCAGTGCTCTCCCTGGGACCCTTGGGGATGGGGCTGCCCCTGCCAGGGCACCCCAAGTCTGGGTGCTGCACTCCCGGTGCTGGTGGCAAAGGAGCCAGTCGTGGGACATGTGTGTGCCCTTTGGATTTGCTGTGTCCAGAACAGTGAATCCCAGTGCTGATGAGACCCGGGGCTGCAGGACCACTGAGGAAATCCTGCCCTGGGAATCGAGCTTTGGTGACTACATTCCCCGCTGTGTCCAATAAAGAATGCAGGTTTCCCTTGCTCCTCCTTTTGCTACTGATGTATTTATAAAAACAGCTTTTCTTCTCCTTTACTGAAGTGGCCAGGTTAAGTTCTAATGGAGCTTTTGCATTTCTGATTTCCTTTCTGCATAACCTAACAACATCCTTAAACACTTCCCGAGTTGCCTACCCCTTTCTCCAAAAGTGATACACCCTCTTTTTTTGCCTGAGTTCCTGCAAAAGCTCCCTGCCCAGCCAGGCCAGCATTCCCTGCCGGCTCATCTTTCAGCACATTAGGACAGGCTGTTCCTGTGCCTTCAAGATTTCTTTCTTGAGGTCTGTCCATGTTGGTGTTATATAACAGAAGAGACGACAACCTGCTAGCTCAGTGCAGGGGCAACAACGAGGCTGAATCTTTATTAACAGAAAATGGAGGGTTTATATAGGGTTGTGGAAGGAAGGTTCAGGAATATGGGAGGAGAATAGGAGAAGCATGCTAATCCTCCAACTAGGATTGGGTACAGGGTAATGCATAAACATAGGGAGGACATACATATGTATGCAGGGATAACATGACAACAGGGAATAACAGGGATTGGTCGAGCTGCTGTGGTTCCACGAATTGTCCAATAGTAGCTGACACTCGCTCTTGGGCTCGACGTCCATGGCAACCACTTGCTACATGGTGATACTTGCAGCTGCAGCTCGACGTTAATATCACACCTAAAAATCACTTATAATACAGGTTCTTTTAACCACCATGATTATGCCCTTTACAGACATAAAACCAACTCCAACATGTCCACCCTTCCCGGACCCCTTTGTTTGTAAGGGCTGTTTCCCAAGGTACTCTCAGAACCAGCCTCCTGAATAGGCCCAAGTCTGCCTTGCAGAAGACCAGGGTAGAGGTTTTGTTGGTGCCCCTCCTTGTTTCACTGAGTATTGCAAACTCCATCATTCCATGGTCACTGTGCCCCAGACGGCCTCCGACCACCATATCTCCCACCAGCCCTTCTCTGTTTGTAAACAGTAGGTCCAGCAGGGCCTCACCCTTAGTAGGTTCACTTGTCAGCTGCAACGTGAATTATCCTCCATACACCCCAGGAACCTCCCTGCCTGACACTTCTCCACGCAGGGGGTCCTCAGGGGGAATTCACATCCCATGGCAGCATCTGCTGTGGCACCATGAGATAGGGAGAACAGCAGGGTGGGGAAGCTGAGACTCTTTCGTCTTCACCACACAGCAGGTGAAGCATCTGAAGACTCCCTGGATTCTCCTTTCTGCCTCTGTCAAATGGCTTTTGAATCATCCTAATCTCATCGCTCCCAGTGGCACCAGTTCCTGTTGCAATGAAAAGCTCTCACAATCTTCCTTTGCAGTGAAGCGAATGTGAGCAAATGTGAACCAGGCAACGCTGTGGAAACTGCTTCTTTCCCCTCCTTTAATAAAACCAGTTCTGCTGGTATTCATGCAGTTGAACCTTGAGTGATTCTTTCATAAGGAGAGAGAAATTCTTGTCTGTGAGGGTGGTGAGGCCCTGGCACAGAGAAGCTGTGGCTGTCCCATCCCTGGAAGTGTTCAAGGCCAGGCTGGACAGGGCTTGGAGCAACCTGGGATAGTGGAAGGTGTCCTTGCCCATGGCAGAGGGTTGGAATGAAATGAGCTTTGAAGTCCCTTCCTTAGAATTGTATGATTCTACAGAAAAGGAGCTTGCAGGATCAGAAGGAGCAGTCATTGCATGTTCCCAGATATTTCATGCAACCCTGTGGTCTAACGTATCTTACACAAACGTGGATGGTCCAAGATGGGTTGCACAAAGATCAGGGAGTTTGTGGTGAAAGCAGTCTCAAAGTGGACCTTCATTTCTCATTGAAAGAAACCAACATACAGGACAAATTTGGCCAGAAAAGGCTCTTTTTTCATTGGCCCATGACTGTGCTGTCACATGCTCAACCCTTTATATGCAAGTTTGGAGCTGGTGCACCCAGAGAAGAACAGACAGAGAGCAGCGTTGATCCTTCACCTCCTGCACTGGTAACTCTGCCTGGTTCTGGAGCGGCACTGTCACCTCTTCATCTTTACACACTTCTTTTTCTTTTGTTAATCTCAAGTCTGAGTCTCAGCTTTGATTAACCCCTTCCTTCTTATTACTCCAGTGAATGCGTCTGATCTCTGTGTGTTCTACAGGGCCAAGGGTTGGTTGGTTGCTTGCAGGGCGGGAAGGAGGACACTGGGTTGCTGATTTCCGAGAGAAAGGGAGATCTAGAAACCTTCCCTTGAGGCATCAGGGACAGAACTGTGTAGTTTCCTACAGAAGCAGTGACCCATCCAGCACAGCAGTTGAGTGCTGCCTTTTGAGCCACAAATCTTACCAGAATGCCAGTAACATTTTGAGTGAGTTGTCACCTTAGTTGATACAGATGTCTTTATTTTAGAGTTTTCTGAGGATTATGGTTGGCTGGGTCTCTGAACTCTTTGTAAACTCCAGTAGGTTGAAGGGGAATAATTTATGGGTCTATGTTGGTACCAGAGTAACCTGCCTGGTGTTGAACAGATCCGGGGTATCGTTTTTTCAGTGCAAGAAAACAAATATTTTATAAACAACAAAACCAAAAAAACAACACCAAAACATCATAAAATCCCAGAATACTTTAGGTTCAAAGGTAGTCCCAGTAGTCTCTAGTCTGGATCTGTGCTCAAAATGGTGCTAATTAGGACAGGTTGTTAAGGGATGCATTCACTGAAACTGTGAATATCTCCAAGGATGCAGATTCCACTCTGTTCTTTGTCCAAACCCAGTGTATTTTATGAGATTTTGGCTTTGGTCTCTCAGGGCATGTTTTAATCA